TAATGAAGGGAGAAAATAATAGACAAAACCATAATAGGAAGTATCTTATCTAGGAGTAAACAGAAGTTCAATTCCTAAGTGGCTCTAAAGGAGTTTTGTGTTTTTGGTACTCCTAATAGGATGATTTCTATTTTCTATGAAAATATTTTTTTTAATGGTCAATTAAGGAGTTGTTGCAGACAAAGTAGGACGTAAAGAAAAAGACCTTCAAGATGGGCAAAGGTGTAGTCTGAACTCAGTGTGATTTGGTAAAACTCAGGATTCACTGGTAGAAATGACAAATAAAATATTCAGTAGGAAGTAAATTCTAAAATGGACATAACTAAAAAAAATGAGCAAAACTTTTACTACAGTAAAGATGTATCAGGCATTTTATCAAGGCTGGGCTCTCTGTGGGACATAAGACGCTTTCATCAGTTGACAAATACCTCCACACACTCTGAATAACAAGGCTGATTCTGAATTTGGATTTGGCAGAAATAAATGTGTCAAGTAGATTCTGAGGAAAAAGATAGGACATAATAAAGGAGAACTAAAAGTATAAAAGGCAGCTAATAACAGAGGGAGGGCACAACTAGAAAATGGTGCTAACGAAAGCAAGTGAGGGAAAGAGAAGCTGCGGTGATAGAGAAGGAAGAGTTTCAGCGGGTACATGGGTGGGGAAAGAGACTTTCTGTTTCATCATTAAGAGAATAATTTTGAGAGCTTTGGCATTCAGTTGGTGGTGAATACTCTCAGGATAATAGAGACATCACTGTTTTTTTTTTTAATATATATATTTTTTCATCTTGTCCAGAGCTGATGACCTGGTTAGAATCACAGAATTTTCCATGGCTGAAAAGCACCATGGGAAGAATTGAGGCCAAGAGAGCTCAGCCTCTCTGGCTAAGTCCCCTTTACCTCAATCTGGTTTGACTCAGGGCCCCACTTCATTCTGTCAGTGATTCTCCAGACCTGAATCTCCCTACCTGAGGAAAGACCTGCCTCTCAACCTTCCACTCACCTTCTCTGGCATCACCTCCTGCTCCTCCTCTTCTGTTCCATCACCTGCAACTTGACCTCAGACCTGCCTGAGCATTGAACTTCCATTATTATTGCACTTTGCACCCCTTGAAATGTCATCTGTTTCGACTGTTCTAAAAAAGTGGGGTTCATCAAGATGACCAACTGTCTCAGTAATCTTGTCCCTTTTCCCCAAATGTCTCTTGGTTTAATTTTCTTCTTTAATTATGACCGAGAATTCATTTCTTTAGTGTTTTTAAAGCACACTGCTTTTTTGTTTCACCTCTAGATCACATATACATTTACTTCCTTTGAGAACTCATTCACTCTTGTCTTTCCAGCTGCCAGTAAATGGTACATGGCTTAATAGAAGGAACTCGGGACTAGGAGATTTGCATCTATAACCCGGTCTCAGGCCTTCTAACAAAACTGAACCTAGCTTTTCTCAACTATAAAATGTGGAGATAAAATAAACATTTTTAATGTGAATTTTATGTTTATAATTAGGCTAAAGATTTATATATGTAAATATATATATATATTCACACACAAATATATATATATATACACACACAAATGCATTCTTATCATTTTTTACAGTAAAAGAACTAGTGCTCCAAGAGGTTACACAACCTTTCCAAAGGCACAGTGAGGTCACTGCCCACCCTCCACCGCCTGCCATGTCAGTGCATCTTGAAAGAGTGAGCTTTCTTCTGTGGGGTGCCCTTCCTCCCCATCCCCCCATGGAGGGAGGATAATAACCACCCTCTCTACCTGGAAGGGCTACAGTGAGGAGAAAATGAGGCAGTGCCTGTGAAAGCATTTTAATCACAAAGCATTATGTAAATGTAATACATAATTACTGTTATTATCTCCAGCAATCCAAGTCTTCAGCTCTTTGTAGTTCGCTTGCTTTCTCTGCCCATAGAGTAATTCACTTGTACGTCCTGTTGGCCTCAAACTTGGGTAAAAATAATACTCATGATGTTTTCCTAACTTTCACATTTCACTCATTTTCCGTTACCTTCCTAAGCGTCACAATTCACTTTGTCCCCTTAAGATACTGGTGACCATTGCATTCTGATTAACTCCTGTCGTCCTGAAATAATAAGAACTAGCACCCTCTTTTTTCTCAAAAACCCCAGTTTGGATGATAAGTTATATGGTCACTTAAGATGTCTTTCGCTGCTTCTTGCTATGGTCCCTTTCTTTTCATTCTTGCTCATTTTTTTTTCCCCCTAAAACACCTCGCTCTAAAACACTGTCCCTTTCCCATTTGCACTCACTAACATGAACCTGATTGCTACTTGCTCAGTTTACGGAAATAGATCTTTTTGCCTCTCTGCTTATCTTAAGAATTCCTCATTTCCACTGATTCCTCCACACAGAAGAAGGATTCTTACTCCCAACCATGGCTACTATCATGTCCCTTCCTTCATTAGAGCTCACAGGCAACTTAGTTTCCTGATTCTAAACTTTATAGTGTAGTTTGAACTATCCTCACCTTTTTTTTTTTACTTCTCTTTCCTCAGCTTCCTCTCTTTATAACTTCATTTATAAGACATATATCACTACAAATCTATATTACACTCTGTTACATCTACAAGCCATGCCTTCCTTATACCCCTTCCCTCTTCTTTTGGTAGATTGCAAATGGCCATCGATCCTTTGCAGTTCCTGCCACCAAGAGATGGAATCTACTTCCCCCTGCCCTGACTTTAATCAATAAAGTCCAATGGAGGTGACTGTATACAACTTCTGAGTCAAGACCTTACGAGACTTGCAGCTTTCAGTTTTGCTCTCTTGGGATGCCCTACAATGTTTATTACTATTATTATTATTATTATTATTATTATTATTATTATTATTATTGTCACAGAGAGAGAGAGAGAAAAGCAGGCTCCATGCACCGGGAGCCCGATGTGGGATTCGATCCCGGGTCTCCAGGATCGCGCCCTGGGCCAAAGGCAGGCGCCAAACCACTGTGCCACCCAGGGATCCCATCCCTACAATGTTATTAGACCAAACTACTCTGACTGAGGGTAAGAGGCCAGGTAGAAAGAGACGTCTGTCCTTTTGGGACATCTCAGTGATTCCAGGGATCCCAGCTGAGTTCCCTAATGTATGAGTGAATTCCAGTAAACAATGTGGAGCAGAGAAGACCCATCCTGGCTGAGCCATTTCACCCAGTTCAAATTGATGCCTCACAGAATTATGGTTGAGTCAGTGATAATTAAAAGTCTCACTTTATTCATTCCCTTCATATGACTATCTATATATCAGTATGATATGTTTTGTTTTCTACCTTTCTTATTTCTCTGCATCTACAGGAGTATCTCTAAAATTCATTTAAGTATATGCAAATGTTTGAGCACCTGGCTGGCTCAGTCCATTGAGCATGCGACTCTTGATCTTGGGGTCATGAGTTCAAGCCCCGCATTGGGCAAAAAGCTTACTTAAAAAAAAAAGAATATGCAAGATATTTGCATAAGGAATCTTGCTTAGTTTTTGCACCAACCATGCAAGCCAGGTATTGCTATCTTTATTTTCATTACCAAGGATGTTAAGCAACTTGAACAAAATTCTCCAATCCATAAATAATTTAAATCAAAATTGAAACCATTCATTTTGTTATTTCAATAATGTATGCAATAAACATCTTTTCACTGGGTACAATAAAGACTGTTAGGTCTCCTGTGCCATAGAGGAGCAATCACTCCAATGAAACATAGAAGCAAAATAAACCAAAGGGAAAGAGAAATACAGTGCAATCTGTGATTGCTGCCATCTGAAAAAAAAAACAAAACAAAACAAACTCTGGAAATGAAGAGGAGAGACATAAGATGGGTTAAGAGTATGCGTAAGTAGAGGATATTTCTGGAGAACACAAAAATTGAGATAAACCTTGGGGAAGAAGAAGATTCCCAGAGGTGAAAATAAGTGGAAGAAGGTTTGAAAAAGATGTCAACATGGAGCTGAAAATACAGAAACACTCTAGGTATGCCCAGGGAAATATGAATCAGAACACAAGCATACATAATAGGGAACAATTTGAGAGAGATATATATATGGAAAAGTTAAATGTGTATTAAGCATATGGAAAACTTTGAACACCAGAATGCAGAGTTCTGTGTTTTGTGATCTGTCAGAGGAATTTGCACAACAGAGTCATATTGTCATGATGGTTCTTAGAAAGCTTTTTTCTGTCTCATTTGAATTGACCCTATGTGTCTGCCCCACTGGTTAGTAAGCTCGCCAAAGACATCAATATATTAACAAGTACTTAGTGAGCACACAGTATTCAAGGAACAGGGTTGAATTTCATGAGCTAAAACAAAACCACTGTGACCAACAATAAACATCCTCTCTTAGAGAATGAATAGTCCAGTTAGGTCGCTAGAACCTGTCCTACAGTAAAAACAGAGCTTTCAATGTTAAAAGTTGTGACTTTCACTTTCAGAACAATTTTCTGGGTATAATAAATGTTTGCGTGCATTTTGATTGCTTGACCAAAGTGTGAGGCACTAAAGAACACTTGTTAAGAATCACACTTGACTGACATAATGAAACGCATCTGTAATTGTCTCATAGATTCTACTAAAATGAGTGTTCTCACATCTTAACATTCTTGTGTTCTGGACATTATGGCTTGAGGGATTTTAGCACCAACTGTTAAAAGAGGCGGTGTGATGATTAATTTTAATGTGTCAACCTGACTAGGTCACAAGGTGCCCAGATATTTAGTTAAATATTTCTGAGTGTGTCTGTGAGGGTGTGTGTTTCTGGACGAGATTAGCATTTGAGTTGATGGATTCAGTTAGGCAGGTCACCCTCCCAGTATTGGTTGGCATCATCCAATCCACTGAGGGCCTGACCACAACCAAACTTGGAAGAAGGAAGAATTTCTCTACCGTCTGTCTGTCTGTCTCTCTCTCACTCTTTCTTTCTCAATTTTCTGCTTGATTAATTGAACTGAGACATAGGTCTTCTGCTCTCAGACTAGGATTTGCACCATCTGCACTCCTGGTTCTCAGGCCTTGGACTTGGATTGAAATTATACTCCTGGCTTTTCTGGGTCTCCAGCTTGCAGACAGCAGATTGTGAGACTTCTCAACCTTCGTAATTGTGTGAGTCAATTCTTTATAATAAATCTCTCTCTTTTGTATTTATCTTATATGTATATTTATATATATATACACACATATACATATACATACCCATATATATTTATACACACATGTATTTATTTTTCATATATATATATATATATATATACATACATACATACATGCACACATACACACGGTCCTGTTTCTCTGGCAAACCCTAGTATAAGCAGTCTTTTTACTTCCAGAGAAAAGACATTATCCATAACCCCTAAAATTGGGCTTAGAATAGGATACTATAAGATATTTAGGTAGCACTAGATCTGGAAATTGCTAGACAAATCTTCATCTCTATTTATGGATTGATAGGATCTGCCTGCCCTTCAAGGAACTGCAAGCATCAGTGTACCAATGAGGAAGTGTTTTGGGGAACGATGGAATCAATCTACCCTCAAAGTTTTTGAAATCTTACTGTTAATGTTTCTCTTTAATGACCTGAGATGCTTGTTAAAAATGCACATGCACATTCTCAAAAATAATAAAAATAAAAATTCACGTTCTCGCACTCCATCCCAAATACACTCAATCAGGCTATCTGTGATGGAGCCCAAGATCTTGTTTCTTATACATGTCTCAGAATAATCTTGTATGCATTCTTAGAATTTAAGAAGGATTTTCCAAAAGCAATAGGAAGGGAAGGCTGTAGCCTCCCTCACTTTGTAATTACTTATAAGCAAACAGGGTCTAGTAGATGTTGTCAAAGGTATTAGTCTAATTAAAAGCCTTCTCTGAATTTCAGGGAGCTCCTTTGAACCAGTCTCATTAATGCTCCTCTTTGCTAGTGTTTTTTAAATGCCACATCAAGTGCAACAATTACACTTCCACATATCTCCAGAAACGACTTATGGCAGCTAGTAAAGTGACTTTAAATGGATATTTTCAGGTGTCTGCCCATAAAGACTGCTATTGAAGCACTTCTTCTGGAATTATTATGGCTTAAACAAGAGTCTTATTTATTTTGGGTGCCAAGGATTTTTCTAGAACCCAGAGATAGAGCAGTGAATAAAATAGTCAAGGTCTCTGTCTTTACGGATCTTGCATTCTAATGGAGTTCAAATTCCTGTCAATGCTCCTTCCTGAATAACTGGAACTCACCTTTTATTGCCTTTTACAGCCAAATCTTGATCCTCTTTTTAACTGGGTAAATAAAGTGGCGTGATGATATATATTTTTTCCTTTTTCTTCCTGTAGTCTTGATCCTTTGCAATTCACTCTCCTCATTTTAGCCACAACTCTTTTCTAAGACTGAAATCTGATGATACCCCTACTTTGTGCTATTCACTGCTTTTCTGACTTTTACAGAGTTAAAGCTGGAGTTCCAGAGCTTTGTCATTCAGAGCCTTTTATGGTTCACCCTTACCTACTTTTAAAATATCATCTCCTGGTGTTCTGGAACATAGCCCGAACTTAAAGCCATGCTGACTTAACTTGAAATTCTTGAAGTTTCCCTCAGCACATCATGCTTCCAGCCCTGTGTACATACTCTTTCCTCTATCATCCCTACCTTCCCCCAGCAAGGTGGAGTTCATCACTCAGTGTTCAACTCAGGCATTTCCTCTCTCAGAATCTTCCTGGACTTTCCCAGAGGAGCTAAGAATTTCCTCTACCATGTTCCTGAATGATATAAATGACTTTATTATAGTTCTGACTTCAGGGCTTTCACTCTGCCCCTTCCTATACACAATGTAGGCAGATGAGATTTTTGCATTTTTTTACCGAAAATTTCACTGTGCCAGCCTTCTGGTATATGTTTTCCTACTGTCTACTCCCTACCTACTCCCCCAATCTCATCTCCTCTACTTCTTCTCTTAGTTCATTACATGTGGCTTCACTTTTCCTTCTGTTTTTTGAACACACAAAATCCTTTCACCTCTTAATCCTGGTGGTTCTCTCTGCCTGGAATGCCCTTCACCTGGCTCATCTGAAGGCAAATTCCTTAAAGTTTCACCCAGGCTGTCACCAGATCAGAAGTGTCTTCCAGGAATTGCTGCTCATACAGTGGCTTCCTCTGATTCGTCTCTATTTCAACACCCTGGGTATACTCTACTTGGCACTATCCATAATATAAATGGATCTCAGTTATTTGTCTAAATATCTCTGCTGAGTTTCTGGAAAGCAACTTATTGAAGGTAAGAGTTTTGTCTACTTTTTTCACTCCTCTGGCTCTAAAGCCCAGCATGGTGTTTGGCAAACTTATTGACTGAATTAATAAATAGTACTGACAACACACTGTTATTTACTTCTTTCTCTCCTCCGACTGTAGAGATCTAGAGCATCTAAGTTGTATAGCATCCATGTTAGTACTACCAGGAAGCATTATTCTATTTAATATAAAAGTAACCAGTTAATAAACACACTTAATGCCATAAAGATGCATTATTTTAGATGGAACTAAGGAAAAGAGGAATAATAAGATTCATTTTTTGATAGTTAAATCGAGCAAATATGAGGCTATCTGCTGTCAATCATGGTAAATTGGGAGTAGGGACCAAAGTCCTTCCAGAGAATGAGCATCAGTAAACCTGAGTTCTGTCTGCCATTGGGATGACTCAGCACAGGGGCCTTGCTATATCCTATGATCACTGGCCTTGTTTCTATTATGTAAGGTGAAGATTAAATGACATGGTGACCCCCTACAAAGTGAAAAGCAGGTGTGCTTTCCTGGAACAACACAGGGGCCCAATATTAGCCTTCATATTTAAGTTGATCAGCAAAATAAATCAATTTCAAACAAAGACTAAATGTAATAAAATCCAGGTTCAGAAAATAATTCACTTTGGAAGATTCAGACTTCTTATAGGTGACTTTTAAATATTTTCAAATTCCAGAAATAAAGTGATTTTGTTTTTCTCAGAGCATTATCACTATAAAGATATTACAAAAGTAATTAATAGGTAGAAACGTTTGCCTCTTTTGGTGAAAAAGTTATTTTCATGTGTGTATGAATATTACCTAGCTGTCTGTTTTCAAATTATGTGTATGAGAACACAGTTTTCTTGGGAAAGATGGGTTTTTATTGTTCAAATTGCAGTAGAGATACAAAATTTTAATAGCTTACTTTCAAACCCGGACAATAAATTTAAGTGGATTACTAGTTTTCTGACATTGTCACCATTTTATTTGTTTTGGGGCCACTAGCTTCCACGGTAGCCCCAATGATTCTTACTTCCTGTTATCCACACCCATGTTCTACCTCATGATTCCGGAGTGTGTGTGTGTGTGTGTGTGTGTGTGTGTGTCACCCATAATTACAGAAATAATGGCATGTCACGTCTGAGATTAGGTTATAGAAGCTTATGCCTTTCATCTTGGCCACTTTGGGAGAAACAAGCTGCCATTTTGTGAGCACCTGTACAGAAGCCCCGGTGGCAATGAAGAGAAAACTATTCTGGCCAACAGCTATCAAAGAACTGAAGTCTGTAGATAACCATGGAAGTGAGTTTGGAAACAGTTTCTCTAGCCATAGATGAGGCTCAAGAGAAGCCTGTAGCCCTGGCTGATGCAGCTTGCAACTTGGGAGATATACTGAGCCAGAACCACCCAACTAAGCTGCTGCCAGATTGCTGACCTGCAGAAACTGTGAGATAATACACGTGTATTGCTTTAGGCTGCTAAGTGTGGGGCCAATCAATTAAAGATAATTAACACAAGTGTCAAATCTGACTTATTTGGTACATTTCATATTTGAAACATAATGTCCTTAAAAAAAATCCAGAATCTTATACATAGTAGGATATTTATAAAGGCCAAAAAGTGAGACATAAAGGAATTGGATGATGAAAGGAAAAGTAGGAAGGAAGTAGATGGCCCAGCTGCAGATATTTTGGTCATGTCTCTGCAGCTGTGATAGAGGTTGGAGATGGTGGCAAATTGAACTGAACTATAACTCTGCAACAGAATAGAAGTCTGAGCACCAATCTTTGAGTTTTCCCTTTTATAACTGTAAGGTAGATAAATCATGTTTATTTTAACTGACACTTTGAATTGTTAAGTCTTTTCTGGATGCTTTTTTGGATCTTCCAGATTTTCTCCATTGAGCCTATATTAATACTGCAATCAGAAAATGTAACTATTACTTTAATTTAGTGAAATTTTAATAGACTCAAAGACCCAAGTTATAAGGCACCTCTGGAGCTTGGATTGGAAAAATCTGCCTGTAGCAGATTTTACCCAAATGTAATACCTAGAGTCTGGTTCCAGGGTCTCTGTATTGGAGAAACGTCTAGAACAGCTGAGAACATTTATTTTTGAGAAGAGATAATCTGAGGAAATATAAGAGCTGCTTCTGAATATCTCAATTTTTTTTGTGCACCAAAAGAAACACACTCTGTTGTAGACTCAAATAGTTCTATATTGACCCAATCAGTTGAGTCAGCATCAAGTTACAAAGCAACACTGTCATCTCAACATAAGTAAGAAATTTTTGACATAACTAACAACATTTAAAACTCCTGCCTTGTGAGATTTTGAGTTCCTGACCACTAAAGGTGGGTATATAATCATTCACCCGCTCCTTGCTGCACACCGTCCATAACAGCCTGAAATAATGTCAGTGATCAAAGGGATACTCCACTGATTTTAGACTCTGTATTTCTCTTGAATCAAAAATCATTTTTTTACATAATTGATTAAGTGGCTTACCAATGCACACATCAAAAGAATCTTTGTTTCAGATAACATTCTGGTGTTAATTTATTGATGACATTACGCAAAGATATGAGGATACTGCTTTTTGTGACCTAGCTCTACTTCATCGGCTTCTGGAGCTGAAAAAGTTTCTGAGGAAGCAGATGGAACTCAAGGAAGATCTGCAATCAGTCAGAGACTCAACAGACTGGCTGGGCTAGACCCCAGGCTACAGAATTCTCTCCATGATGTTCTCATTTTGGGCATCTCTGCTTGTCTCTGTCTTCTCAATTTCAGAAAAGTCTTTCAACATTGTTCTAACTTCA